CCCCAAAACCCCAAAACCCCAAAACCCCAAAACCCCTTATGCTATTTTTTAAAGAATTTTATAGAATTGTTTAAAAGTGCTTAGCATAATTATTTAATATATAAAGTTGCAATGGACAGAACAAATGATGATAGTGGACTTATTTATGAGGAAAACCTGATAAATAAGTCAAGCAAGATCGACAATAACATCAATATGACAAGTAAGAATATTTTCATATATTTCACAGGCCATACGACAAGCATTATAGATGACATTGTCTCACCAACCACCTACAGAAATGCTAATGCAGACATCAACGTGAGACCTGGAAGAATTCCATTTTCTCCCAATGGCCAGAGAAGACCATTCTTCAACAGAGCTTTTGGAAAGTTAGAGAAAGGCTCTTTAAGAGGAAGTATCTTTTCACTTTGCGCTTCAGCTATTGGATCTGGAGTACTATCTTTACCATATGTGCTTGCCTTAAATGGGTGGGCCCTCGGATTCATACTCATATTGGTCTCTGCCTTTTGTAAGAATAATATTCGTATAAAATGATTATAGCTGCGTGTTGGAGTTTATTCATGATTGCAGATTCTGCTATCAAAGCCAATGTTAACAACTTCTCCAAGCTGACTAATTTTGTGGGAGGGAAGAAGCTAGAGCTATTTTTGCAAATTAACATCCTCATTTATATGATAGGATCATGCATAGGTTATCAAATCATTAGTAATTTGATCACTCATATTTCAATATTACTTTAGTTACAACACTTTTAAGAAATGTCGTTACTCAGTTAGGAGGTAGCAAAGATTTCACTGAGGGATGGGAATTCAGAGCAATCGTTGGAGCACCTATTGCAGCCTGTATTTTGATGCCAATGTCAATGATCAAAGATATGAGTGGCTTCAGATATATAAGTTTTGCCTCTATCTTCGCTTTATTTTACACTGGCGTCGTTTTATTAATTGAAATGCCAGAGTACATTCAGCATTACAAGGATACTGCTATAATTAAGCCCTTTATCATTGACTTGAATTTCTTTAACGGTGCTTGTATTACTTTCTTTGCCTATACCTGCTAAGTTCAATTATTGCCAATATATTCAGAACTCATTAACCCTAATGCTAGAAGAATAAAAAAGATCATTGGAGTCTCAGTCATAGTTGATGTATTCTTTTATATGACAATTGCAGCTGCTGGTTATTTCTCAACTTTTGATATAACAGCAAGAGTTGTGCTGGATAGACCACCACTTAGTGGAAGCAGAGACTATGCAATTCTTATTTCACAAATATTGATCATGATGGTACTCTTCGTTGCAGTGCCTGTTAACTACAATCCGTTTAGAAACTAGGTATTCTACATGTTCTTCAAGAGACAAGAATTTTCCTTTAAAGAGTAATTAGTTATTCATTAATTCATATAGGAATTTGCTCTGTACTGGAATATTCATAGCTTTCACATGTTTAGTTGCAATAGTTTATCCAAATATTTCCTCAGTCTTAGGTATCTTAGGAGGTCTTAATGCTACAGCTATCTAATTTTTAGTTCCTAGTAAATTACTATATTAATCATTTTTCAATTAGTGATATGCTCAGTTAAGGTTAGTGGAGAAAAATACACGTCTCCAAGCAATCTTTTCAAAATCATATTCTTTTCTATTTTGTGCGTCATAGGCTATATTAACGTAGTCGGTGCCATAGTACAAATGGTAATGGGAATAGATAAATTCTGAACAAATTAGCTTCTTTTAGTTGTCTATTTATCTTATCATATTAATTTCACCGATTAACAAGAAATTTAAGAATTCTGGCACTTGGGGTTTTGGGGTTTTGGGGAGATCGGAAGAGCGTCGTGT